TGCACCGGTGCCTCTGCTCTGTGTTAGATAAACATGGCAAACACAGATAGCAACAAGAGAGTGGTGTCACAGGCCCTGCTGGGCTGCAGCAGCAGCTCCAGCAGCAGCAGTGGGGGCTCAGCAGACTTCCCACCCCCCAAGTCTGTTTGTTCACACACTCTGACAATCTGGATGGGAAAGTTGCACGAAGCAAGAATTCATTATGGCAGTGGGGGCTGCCAGGGAAGCTTCTCTCTCTCTCTTTACTTTAATGGTCGCTTAAATTACTTCTGCAGGCGTTGAAAAAGCTTTGATTATTGCACACAAGGATGATCCACAAATTCAAACTGAATCTTTCATCCTAATAAACATGAATCCAGACCTGCATTTGGATCCTGGATGCTGCCTGTGGGCTCCCTCCAGATTTTCTGCCAAATACTGCCACCAAGTGTGAATCTTAGATTTTCTCCTAAACAGATGAGAAGGAAAGAGACCCACCTGCAGATCCTGCTCCTGGTGACCTCAACAGACATTTGAGACTGGCCTCAGTGGCACCCACCGAAATGTTTCCACATTTCCACAGAAATGTCTATTTCTCCTGTTCAAAACAGAGCTGTGAAAGTTGTCTGGCAGTCATCTGAAGTTTTATTTCTATCATATTAATATCTCAAGTCATTACTACAAGTGATGAAGCCCCATCCTTATTGGAAAATAATAAGACAGAGGTGGAGTGAGAGGAGGTGACTAATGCCTAAAAAAACAATATAACTTAAAAAATAAAGGAAAAGTTGTTGCTCTATATCCTAAAAACCCACAGGTCTTGAGCCTCAGGATAATACCTTAGTAACACAACTGTCTTTTGTTTCAATAGGTTTGTACCATAATAATCAGTGTAATGTGCAAAACTGATATGAGAAATAACATATCAGTCTTGGAGAGGGAATATCTCCGTTGCTACTTCAAACAAGACTGTCCTGAGAATTTGTCTGTTCACCACATGGAAAAGCAAAGATACATAATAAGGAAAGACAAATTGAAATATTTCTAAGTGAAGCCGATCAAAACTCTACATAAAGAATTAAAGTGACAACAGTTCAAAAAGCCTAACTTTTTTGCGTATGAACTTTATTTTAAAACGAGAACATTCATAAGTCTATCTGGCTGACTTTGAATTCCTTGTACTAAATTGAGTTAACTCTCTGTACTTCTCAGCTGTGGCTCTCTACATGATACCTAAGAAAGTCACCTGTCAAAAAGGATGTTGGGAAAGCACGAAAACCTGTAGTTAAAAATGAAGGGTATAATTTACAGCTTGGTACAAGTCTTTGGTTGCAATGAGTTTAGTAAGCAAGGCTGTTGGACTCAGCAGTGGTTCCTGGCTCCAAGTGAGTTGAGACTCCAGCGAGGACTGTTTCCATCAGCCATGTTCCTTGGTTTCAGTGAAAATAAGAGGTTATAAGAATGCGATTTTATATAACTTTTTCAAGGTTCAGGTGTAAACTCAGGGTCCCAAGTTGTGGCTCTGATGTTCAGCAGATTTAAATTAGCAAACACGAACCAGGAAGATGCACTACAAGTGCCTCATAACAGCGAGGATCCAAAATCATGGAAATTTAAAATAAGACTTAAGACTGCTGTACACAACTGAACTCCAAGCTGCAATTCTGAAAACTCCACTTAGCTGGAAATGTGCTCCTCAGGCCATAAATATCTCGGTTTCTATATCACTCAAAAATTTTAAATTTTTCCAGGTATGTTTAAATACTTCTGGCTTTGGATGCACATGCATCATTTCTCTTTGTTTAACAGGTTCTGACCATTCATATCAGAGTACAAAACTCAGCCTTGGGCATTCATCAGCAGTTCTTGTAGCTGCACAACAAAGGATTAGTTAAATAATATGCACTTTTCCTTAAGTTAATATGAGTACCTGTATAATTATTTCTACTGCAGGCCTTAACAGCACCAGAGGAGCTGTTATCCTTTATCAGGTAAATCAGATGCAAATTTTAAATTACTATGTGTGCCAGAGGAGCTCTTTGGATATATTAGGTAAATAATCTCACCTTTTTTTTTTATTTATTCTAGGTGGTCTAGCTTCACATCACCCAGAAAGGATTTACAGAGGCAAATAGCATTAACTTTGCTTGAAATCAGGTCTATAAATCCCCATATATTGATGAGAAGCCAGACCCTAAAGTAGTAATTCTAATTCTAATAGAGATCTGAATGTTGTCATAAATCACAGTATTACAGAATGGGAAAAAGGTAAAACCTACATTAGAGGCACTTACAGCACACTTCTTTCTGGGACAGACTGTAAACTTTTCAATTCTTCATCCAGTCTGGTTTGGAGTGTTTCAAGTACCAGATCTTCTGTCAATCCCCTGAGGAAAATATTCTGTCCCCACAGAGCAAGCATTGTTAAGGGTTCTTTCTGGACATTCAGTTCAATTATTCATTTATTCACTCCTAATTATGCTCACCTCAATAAAAAATTGTTCTCCTCAGAACTGCACTCAGCTGGAGATACCTCCCCATGCCCCCTGCTATTATTTGGACAAAGTTAGTGATTCCATTATTCATTTGCCTCAAGTGAAGCTTGTATGTCTGTCTTCGTGGGATTTCTCTGTGTTTCAATTCCCCAGCTCTACAATAAGTCTCACTTTCTCACATCCTTTATCTATTCTTCTAAAAGCTCTAACACAGGGTCAGTCTTTATTTGTGTACATTATCTACAAGCAATACTTGGGGAGTCTGGGGTCAGCTTCTCAAATACTCCGAGATACGAATGGAAAAGAGTAATAAGAAAAGGAGAAGTTGCAGATGATTCTATTTAATTGTGACAAGAAATTGCTATTAGAGAATGATAACTGAAATAAATATCCCTTTTTAAGCTTATCTGGTTATCACCAACCCTGAGTAAGTTTAATTCCAAAAGTAGATTGAGAATCTAACTTGTCATTCTGTGTGTTGGAAAGTAGCCAAAGAAACATTTACAATAATTCTAAGAAAAATATCCATTCTGAAACAGATGAGTTTTGCATACATGCAACTAGACCATTGTTTTCTAGATTTAATTTTTTTTTCCTGAAGGACAATTAACCAGGGAAAATGCCAGACAACTTTAAATTTGAAATTGAAGAACGTGCGTGTGGACCCAGAAAAAAAAAATTGCTTGACTAATTTATTCAGGCTGAATAAGACAAAAAAAAT